GGCCCGCTTAGGCCGTTCCCCCTTCCCTCCCCCGCCTCCGCCCCCGGGGGATTTCCGCGTCCCGTGCGGGCACCGTGCGGAGCTAGAGGGACCCCGTGCGGAGCGGGACACATTGCGGAGAGGGACCACGTGAGGAGCGGGCACCTTGGGGACAGGGGCACCTTGTGTAGAGAGCTAGAGGGACCCCGTGCGGAGAGGGGCACTGTGAGGAGAGGGACCCCATACGGAGCGGGCGCCTTGGGGACAGGGGCACTGTGCAGAGCGAAGCGCCTTGCGGAGAGGAGCACTATGTGGAGAGGGGCACCTCGCCTTGAGCCAGGCCGCCGTACAAACCAGGACCTTGCAAGCTGGGGCGCCTCGTGACTCAGGGTGCGTTGCAAACTGGGTGCTGTCTCGGCCCTGCACGGCAGCTGCTGGGCTCTGAGAGCGCCCTGGCCCATCCTGAGCAGCAGCATTTGGGGTTTCGCTGGCCAGAGAGCTCCTCCCTTGGCAAAGCCTCACAGAGGCCACTTGCTAGTTCTCCCAAAAAGCTGGGGTGCCCCTCACCACCACCTCTGGTGCTGCTGTAGAAGGGGCTCAGGGCTCAGAGCAACAGCCATTGTGAAAGTCTGGAGAGAGAACCAGTGTGTTCAAGGGAGGGGGCTGCACCCGCACATCAGGGAAAGCGTGGCTGGGAACTAGGGGCACTGTTATTCAAATACATTTCAAAGGAAATTAAGTTGCATCATTAGCAAATAACCCTACATATAGTTTGATATGGTGCATGTCCATGCTTGAAGGCATGGAAGACAAAAGTTTGTAGGAAGATAAAAAGGTGCAGGAGCAGCCACCAGCCCTTCCAAAGCGGTTACTCGCACTTTCTTCCAAAGGGAGTTTCCCAAAGGTCCAGATGGATGCATTGCAGGAGTCCTCAGAGGGCACTAGGTTAATCTGGAAGTCCTGAAACACCCAGCTACCTTCTGCCGGTAATCCTAGGCTTACGGCACACACCTGGTAACTCCGTGCTCAATCAAAGCTACCTGGGATGCCCCGTGTGGCGCTGGGTGCTCCCTACAGAGCGTTCCCACACCTGCCTGCACAGAGCCGCAAAAGGAGAAGCGGCTGCATCAGGGGATTACTGCAGCTCTCGTGGTTCCTGCTGTTTACACTGAACAGCAACGTACATCTGTCCTACCAAGAAGTTGGGGTTTTTGGGCTGAGGGACAAAATAGCCTTTGTGTGTGTGTGTGTGTTTGCGTGTGTGTGTGTGTATACACCCTTTTGCCTACAAGTCCTTAGATTTGGGGAGAATGGTAGGGAGGATGGGGCCAAACTTTTCTCTGTGGTGGCCAGTGACAGGACAAGGGGTAATGGGTGCAAATTGAAACACAGGAAGTTCCATCTCCATATGAGGAAGAACTTCTTTCCTGTGAGGGTGACAGAGCCCTGGAACAGGCTGTCCAGAGAGGTTGTGGAGTCTCCTTCTCTGGAGATCTTGCAAAGCTGCCTGGATGCCGCCCTGTGCTATGTTCTCTAGGTGTCCCTTTTGAAGGGGCAGTAGTTAAAGGCTTGAAAAGCCCATGTGGAAAGTTTTCTTCCAAAAGGCAGGTCCTTATCCCTGATAATGTATTTTCATAGAAAAATTCTGCTAGGAAGGGACTTCTGGAGGTTGCCTTGTCCAACCCAACACTCGAAGCTGCTGCTGAGATGTATTTCAAAGTTACTATTGCTGCTTCTGCATGGCTATGAAAGTGATCTAAATGTGTCTGATTGATAATGCTGGGTGACTGGTTTAATTAAGGCCATACTATGATAAGGTTTCCTTTTTGTCATAGAAAGCTGTGAATTTTTATCAGCAGATCTCTTCTCTGTCTCAAATTTAGTTTTAATAATCCAAAAATGGATATTCTTTTGCTTTTTTTTTGTTTAATAACATCCAACTCAGTTTTCATGCAAAATTCATACAAAAGCACACATAAAACTGTCTGATTAAGCTTCTAAAGCTACTGTGATTATGAGAGGAGAGATGAACTTGAGACTGAATCTGTCTGAAGTCACCAAAGCACACCCGCTTCTGGTTGTGGTACCTATATGCCAACTGGGGTAACTACTGCCATCTCCCCATAAGAGACATAGAGGTGCCTCTGAGATGCATTGACCAGTCATTTACTGAGCAAGAAGACAAGATGAAAAAGGAGGGAATGAGACGCATCCAAAATGGAGTGAAATATGTCGTGAAAGACAGCAATCTCACAGCAGACCTAATGAAGAGCCAGTATTTTTGCAGCAAGCCCATTAAAAGGGAATACCTTGAGTAGGGACTGCTCAAACAGCAATGTAGTAAACTATTTTTAAAATGCATGCAATTCCACTGCACGTCTCGGGATAAAGTCTTTTAACTGGAAAAAACTTGCAGTGATGTTACATACAGAAGGCTTGGGGGACTTATTACAGAAAACTGAAAAATAAAAAAACTGTCTGTTTTCACAATAAAACCTACAGCTGACCTGAAGCCTCACTGGTCTTCCTTCATCTTAAGCTAGAAGCAGTAGGAACTACCTTGCTATTAACCATGACTGCATTGCTGACACTAGCTGGGCAATATTCGCTGTCAGGAGGGGAGAATCTAGTAATAAATCAGATACAACAAAAATCTCAGCACCTAGAGCACCCTGGTATATATGTTTTCAGCAAACCAGTTCTGGGATAGAAAGCTTTAAAATCATTTATGATAAAAAAAATAACGATAGCCTACTATGTAAAAATCACCTAACAGTCAAGAACATTATGACTGTGTTTCCTAACATTATTTTTAGCGCAGAGGTCTACCGGAAATCTGATCAAACACTCTACAACCGCAGTGCTATGTGTGTGTGTGATAATTGCTAGGGAAAAGTTCACAAGCAGAGAAGCAATCTCATGCATCAGTATCAGGGTGTAATCAGAAGGGTGGAAAAACCCTGCAACGAGATTGCAGTGGAGGAAAAGAAGCAAAATGGTGACCAGTGATCTTCGAAGTGCAGAGAGCTAGTGAAAGTGCTGCAGCCAAGCCAGTCTGGAGCACGGTGCTTTTATGTTCCCGACGTTGCGCGTGGGCACTGCTCTGAGCGCGCAGAGCACGGGTCAAAAAGGAGCTGCAAAGTGCTTTGAATGCCTTTTGGGATATTACCTGCACAGAAGATAGGGCAGGAGAAGGAGCAGAAGGTCATGCAAAGTCGGAAAGGAACCACAGTGATTAGCAATGATTTTTCTAGCTTGCAGGAGCACTGCAGTAACACACTCCAAATCTAATTGCCTTAGTGCAATGTTGCAGAGTGCAGTCTAGAACTTAATCACAAGAAAATAAGTTATAGAGCAGTTAAACTAATCTCTTGCTAGTAAAGGAAGCAAAAGACATGATTCAAGCAATGAAAAGATCATAGAGCAAACACAGAGCTTTACAAAATGGACTGAATACTACATTAGGGATTATTATCTTCCTTTCTTTTTGGAAAACATTACCGAGTAATGTTTCACACAGTGTATTATCTACTGCCATAGGAAGAATTTCCTAGTAGTGGTCCATAGAGAGCCTCCCGAGGACAGCTAAGTAGTCAAGCTCCAGCGAATCTGGGATCATGCGACATCCTGTTTTCTTTCACGTGTCAATGTATAATTGTGTTGAACTCTTTGAAACATCTAATCAAATAGATCAATCCTCATAATTCCCTCCCTTTTGCACTGCAGCAATATTGACGCATGATATTAAAGCTATTAAAGTACAAGTTGCAATTGAGACAAAAATCAAGAGAAAAATCATAGTAACACT